GAATCCTCTCAAGCAGTACTAAGAGGGTCAAGAGGCCACTCCTGGAAATATTCGACCTGATTGGCCTGAAAGCTCACTGCTTGTGCCCAGGGATGGGGGTGGGGGGCACCGGGGTGACCCCTTGTGGTTTGGGGGGTTGGAGGGAGACTGACCTCGGATCCTGGGGGGGATGTGCTGGCCCTTGAAGCTCTCTCTCTCTGGCCCCATCCATTTTCGAAACATGCAAGTATGTGCATCTCAAGCAGTCAGAAACGTCACATCTTCCCTCTTTCCTCTCCGAACGCCCATTTCCAGCCCACGGCCTCTGTGAGATTCTCTCCTGTAAATAATATTCTTGATGCGCACGAGTGTCTGATCACAGTTTCACACTCATCTCCCACAACAAGACGGACACAGTTGAGATCGAAATTTCAATTGCTGAAATAGGAATTTGGTGGAGGGGGGCAGGGAAGAAATTGCGATTCTCAACTCCCCCCACCTCAAAAAAAAAAAGAAAAAAATCTTTTTACCTTGGTGGGGATCCGCGTCATCTCCCATTTTAGAGACATTTGTCTTCCAGATCACTTTAGTAGTCATGTACCATTCATCAGCGAGATAAAATAGTGAAAGGGGCAGGCTGGGGGAAGGGACCCGCCGAGGGCCTGGGTGAGTGGGGCGTGAGTCCGAGTGTCACTGAGACGTGAGCTGCCTGAGCTGGGTTCCTCCAGGCGGCTCTGAGAAAGCGTGCGTGTGTGCCTGCCAGTTCTGCTCCAGCGTGCACCGAGTTCTTGAATCCCTTCCAGAATCGTCTCGGACGACTTCCTGGTGTTTCCCTTGACAACTCTGGGAGTCCCTCCTGCCTTTTCCTTGAGTACGGGAGCTGGAAGTCACCCTGTTTGCAAAACGGACCCCACCTCCAGCCCGCCCCCCCCCCCGTGGGACCCTACTGCTTTCTCAGCCTTGCACTGATGTTTCCCACCCTCTCTGCGGGGACCTCTGAGAGGAACGGCCCAGTGGGCAATCCTGGCATGGGGCGGGGAGTCAGGGGTGAAGGGAAGGAGGAGGGGGTGAGAAAGAGTCTTGTAAGAGCGGAAGGGGCTGTGGATTATTGGAATTGGGTGTCCCTGCCCCCCCCCCCCCCCCCCCCCGTGGTCACCCATGCGTTAGGAAAGGGCAGGTTTTAAGGTGATACTGGGTATCTGGTTCTCTTAAGTCACCAGTGCCTTGGGGTTGACACTCCCCTGGGGAGACCAAGTGCCCAGGGGCATAGCCCAGGACCCTCCCCTGCTCCCCCCTCCCCCCTGTGGCCTGTGGAAACACGCCTAGATATGATTTTGGTCTCCAGGTGCTCTGGGCCTGTTACCTGCCACGTCTTAGACCCCCGAGGGCAGTTGCACCCTCCCCCACCCCCAGTGGCTCTGTGTGTGGTGGGTGCTGGCTGAGTGTGTGGTGGGTGCACTGAGCCAGTTGGGGGGGGTCTCTGTGGAGAGAGCTTCTCTCTGTTCCCCAACTTTGCCTGTCACTCTCCCTATTCGCCTGCTCTTGCTGTATTTTGTGTTTCCTGAGGGGCGTCTGTGTGTCCCCAGAGCCATGGGTTCTGTGTGTGTGTGTGTGTGTGTGTGTGTGTGTGTGTGTGTGTGTGTGTTGTGTTGTTGTGTGGGTGGGAGGGAGGGATGAGGTGGGCAGGAGAGAATTCTCAACTCCGGGGATGTCGTTCTGGCATGTTGCCACACAGAGCCAGCATCCCTCGGGAACTGGACCCACCTGGTCTCTGTTGGCCTCCCTTGGTGACCGGGAGCTAAACCAGGCTTTCTGCGAGGCAGGTATAGGAAACCCTAGGTGGGTCGCTACGCTAGCCTGTGGGTTCTTGGTCCCTGGTGATGAGAGCAGGGTGGGGGAGGAACAGCTTCGGCTCCCTGGTGCTGGCCTGGCAGAGTGGGGCCTCCAGGGCACTCTGCAGGACAACCAGCCCCGGGTGTGTGTGTGTGTGTGTGTGTGTGTGTGTGTACGCGCACACATGTTGGAGGTGGGGAGTGGGAGGGGGAGCTGCTCCCCGCAGGTAAGCAGAAGCCCCGAGGCTAGAGCTGGGTGTGCCATCTCCCATTCTCCATTAGCCCTGGCTCCTAGAACTTTCCAGCTCCTGAGTTTGGAGCACTGGTGTTTGGACCACAGTGGCCAGGTGCTCAGAAGACCGTGAGGGACTCAGGAATAACCTGGGGCCCCAACATGTAAAGTCTGTGCTCTGACCTTAGGAGCCCTCGGGGACAAGGGGCAGAGATGCGAGGGGTGCCTGCAGCCTCCTCAGGCAGATTCTGGGGCTCCCCACGTGGGCCTGGAGTGAAGCGCACCCCGGCAGTCTCTGGCCCCGCATGGTCACATGAGTCACCCCTCACCTGAAAAATGGAGGAAGTGATCCCCTTTCTCATAGGGGTGGGCAGAACAGATTTCCTAGCAACCCCTGGAGTGTGGACCCAGCTCCTCCTCATCCCCATGAGAAGTGGGCATGAGGCTGCCCTCCTGATTGGCTTCCGTCCCTTGCCCAATCGGAGGCAGGGTACGTCTACTTTTGTTAGGGTGTAGTTGATGCTCTGCCCCAGATGCCAAGCCCCCTTCTGGCCCTGCCTGTCTTGGCGACTCTGGCATTTCGGGCTCTTTCTGATGTCCTGTGTGACTCAGATGGAAGAGTACCCCAAGGCAGTGCCCACAGGGGATGTGTGCCAAGCGGCTGCTGAGGGCACCAAAGCTTTGGACCAATCATTGAGGTATGCAACTGGTATGGGGCAGGGGCACAGCAGCGTGCCCTCCAGGACCACACCAACATCTGTAGGGCCATGGATGCCCCACCAACCCCCATCGCTGCCACGGGGCAGCAAACTTGAGATGCCCGGGGCCCTGGAAGTTGGGCTGCAAGCAGCGGGGTGATGGGCAAATGGGAGTCTAGCTGGGCGTTTCTCAACACATTTCCAATATTGGCACCTTTCTGATTACCTCCTATCCCACCAGTTGGCCCTCTAGGCGCTTTCTGTGGCCTCTCATTGACCATTATTTTCTCCTATGGCCCCCTTGGTTCTGGAAGGAGCAGAGGGGCTTGCACCCCAGGGTGTCAGGTCTGCATAAGGACACCTGTGTGTGGGGTGGGGGGGCAGGGACGAGAAGAAGGAGTTCCTGGGCCGTGCCTGCTGGGCTCTCTGCCATCTCCCTGCTGCTGGGAACCAGAAGCCAGTCTGCACATCTGGGGAGCCAGGCAGGTCCTCAGAGACCCCTGGGGACTCATGTGAGAGAGGTGCTTGGAGCCCACTTCACAGGTGACTAGAGGCTGAGGGCATGGAGGGAAGGAGCAGACTCTCCTGCTGCGGGTGGGGGAGGGCAGCTGCGGGGGTCCACGTGTGTGTAATCCCCATGACCAGGAGACCCTGCGGCTCTCTCTTGCCACCTGCATTCAGTGGTCTTGGGCCACTTCCCCACCCAGGACAGTTTATGCCGCGGGCGGACAAAGGAGGAAACGAGGAGGGCCAGGCTGGTTGGTGATCATTCTCCCCACTCGCCTGTTCCAATCTCACTAAGCCCCTCACTCCCATCCCCTCCTGTCTCTGCACTCCTTCTTGCCGTCCTGGTCTCTCTAGTCTTTCCCCAACTCCTCAGCATTGGGGGTAGCAGCCACAGGTCTAGGTCCAGTAGCACAACCAACATAGGAAAGCCCTTCCTGATCACCTGCAGCCAGGGATCAGGGTCAAGGGCAAAATGCCACTTAAGGTTTTTCTCCTTTCCTTCGTCAGATAACTTAATTAACATCTTAATTAACATCTTAATTCTACTTCATAGTATTATTTGTGGGGACAAATGTAAGAGATGCATTAAGCTTGCAGGGTGGCTCTCCTGGGGACCTCGCTATAGATCTCAGACTACAGTGCTTATCAGGCTAGATTAATCTTTCCTAACCCTAGTGTAGGGTCCTGATCTAGTTGTTACTTTTTGGATCATAAGAGAATTTGTCCCTGACCATGCTCTTAACTTGTAGTTAAGTGTTCTGGCGCTTTGGCCTGGCCCATTTCGATGCCAGATTAGCTCACAGCTTGCCCTGGGTCCATCCAGTCCCTTGTCGGGATCCTGCTTTGGGGGTTCTAGGAAGTAATGGCAACTGGGGCTCAATTCGAGAGAACAGATCCCCAGGAGTGAATATCATTTGGAATCAATTAACTCCCAAGTTACAAAAGCATAGCATTAACTGTCTTCATTTGCTCGAGCGGGCCCAGTAACGTCTCCATTGGAGACTTTGTTGTTACTGTGTCTGGCACATCGAATACTCTCGGTAGCTTGCCGGGCTCTCCGAGAGGGGCGGAGGAATCGAACTCGGGTCGGCCGTGTTGGCTGCGTGCAAGGCAAACGCCCTACCCGCTGTGCTATGTCTTCATGTGTCTATACACAAAGGACATTGCTCTGAATTAACTATGCAAAGGACTTAAGGAGAAGAGAAAAGCAGTATTTACAAGTTAACGGAGTCTGATTAGGAGATAAAAGTGATTGACCGGTTGGGGAAGCAGAGCACAAAGAAAGAGGTTACAGGTAAACACTGAAGAAATGGGAGCACAGTGATGGGAGTAACCCAGTAAACTAAGCTCCCTGTGGCAAGGCAGAAAGATCAAACCAGTGTTATCGTACTGCATGCATCTGGGGTGCAACCTGGCCCATGGTAGGAAGGAAGCCGATGCTTTTTCCTGGAAAGGGGTGAGGCTTTCCAGGCTGAGGGCCTGTGTTCCTTGGCCCTCCTTCCTGAGTGGAGGGAATGTCCATGTCCATCCATCATACAGACAGCAGAAACAGGCCCAGAGCCAGAAGGACATTCGTCCCTCAGTGAGTCGTGACTTGCCCAGGTCCGTGTGGTACTTGGTGCCTCTATGCTGGGTGAGCCTGGTGCCCTGACGCAGTGTGAGGGGTCCCAGGAGACAGTCCCGCAGGCCAGGGGGCCACTGGGTACGTGGGTGGGTCCTCACTGACCTGTCCTACCCCTTCTTGTCTTGCAGGGTCCTACGAGTGTGGGATCTGTGGCAAGAAGTACAAGTACTACAACTGCTTCCAGACGCACGTGCGGGCGCACCGGGGTGAGTCCGGGGGTGGGAGAGGGCGGTGGAGAGGGGGGTTTGCAGGGCACACCAGCTGGTGTGGTTCTGCCTGCACTTCTCAGGGTTTCCAGAAGCCTGCAGAGCCCCCCGGGGTCTCCTTTGTGTTCTACTGTAGGAAGGGGGGGTTCTCCTTGCCTTGGGGAGCAGGCATGGGAGGGTGCAGTAACCAGCTTCTGCTCCCCAAGCCCCTGGTGGGCCCCTTCCTCCCAGATGCATGTGCCCCCCACAACCAGGCCCAGGGGGCTCACCCCCTTCTGCAAATGAGAACCCCGAGGCCGAGGAGCCTGACAGACGGAAGGAGGGAGGTGGGAAGTGTCCCTGGTGCTGGAAGGGGAGGGAGGCTCTCTGCCCCTGCCCCCCTCTCACCCTTTCTCTCCATCTCTTCCAGACACGGAAGCCACGTCAGGGGAGGGGGCCCCACAAGGCAGTGAGTATCTTCCTCTCTTCCCACTTGGGGCAGGGGATGGGGTGTAGATGGGAGGAGGGGGCTGTTTCCCCAGTGCCCTCCCTCTTAGGGGGGTCCCATCTGAGGGTCCCTAAGGGCTCTCAGAGCCCGTCCAACCTGGGGGCATAGCAGGGGGATCACCAGCCATGTAACAAGGGGAGCCCGGGGGTCTCTCCGAGGTATGGGGGTCCGGGTTGTGCCGCGCTCAGGTCCCGCTGGCCAGGCGGCCTCCGAGGCATTCTCTGTATTCCAGCCTCCGAGCCAGGGTCCAGGGCCCCATCGGGACCTTGGGGAAACTCCGCGTTTCATGGAGTGCACGGGTCTCGCCACAGGGCCTGACCTGCCCTGCCCACCAGCCTGGAGATTCAGAACCAGATGGGGGTGGATGGGCAAGACAGCACTCTGCGCCCATCACACACGTGGGCACTCAAGACCCCACAGCTATGCACCCAGGCCCGCCGGAGGCTGCGTGCGCGTGCCCGGGGCTGTGTGCACATGCTGTAGGCGCGTAGCTGCCTGCCTGAGTCTATACTCATGCCCGAGACTGCATGTGCATGCCTGAGGCTGTGTGCTCGTGCTTGAGGCTGTGTGCGCGTGCCCAAGACTGCGGGCACGTGGCTGTGTGCGCATGGCCGAGGCTGCGTGCTCATGCCCGAGATGACATGCGTGAGGCTGCAGGAGCGTGCCTGAGACGGCGTGCACGTGCCCAAGGCTGCAGGTGCATGGCTGCATGCTCATGGCTGCATGCGCATGAGTTGGAATCCCCAGCACTGCAGGCCCCCAGCCATCCTGTGTGTGCCCCCCTCTCTCACCCCAGCACCCCCAGGCGTGGTACCTCCTTCAGGGCCCAATGCCCAAGCAGCCAATCCCATCAAAACTATGGTTCCACAGCTCTGGGTTCAGCATGGTCTGGGTACGGTCCTGGGGCACCCCCAGTGCTGCTGGGCCTGGTGTCTATTTTTTAAATCCTTAACCAAGCATCCTGAGGGAAGGTGCCCTCCTCTGTGCAGGTTGTTTGGATCCTCTTTGCATTCTTCAAGGCTCTTCTCCCAGCCCTCTAGATTTTCAGGTTTTGTTCTCTTTTGAGGGGGTGGGGTGGGGTGTGCACGGAACAAGTCTGGGCTTAACCCTGCTTCTGTGTTCAGGGATTATTCCTTGGGGAAACTTTGTGGTGCCCAGGATGGAACTCGGGTGGGCTGCTTGCAAGGCAAGTGCCCTCCCCGCTGGACTATCATTGCAGCCCATATATTCTTAGTTGGATTTTTTTTAATACCTTTTATTGAGGTACTATAATTTACAGAGTTACTCATCGCACCCAATTTGACACTCAGCCATGATCAAATTCCGTGTGTACAGTTTCCCAACCTCAGATCTCAACCCCATCACGCCAGTATCAGAACTCACTCCTGCCTGGGCTCTGGGGCCATATGGGGTAACAAGGACCGAACCCAAATCAGCTGCATTGCAAGGCAAATGCGTAACCGCTGTCCTATCACTCTGGCTCCAGCATCTTAGGTTTTGTGAGAGGCAAGTAGGGCCGTGGTTCCCTGGGAATCCGAGTCTTGGGTTCACCAGGCACAGCTTGATGGGGGGACGCCCCTCCTCCCGGGTCAGCCTGGCTTCTGGCTTCTTCTTCCGGCTCCTGTGGTCAGCCTGTGGTCACCCACACATTTAAAGAGCTTCCCCTACTTGTCTTTCCTTCCTTGGCTATTCTGAGCCCCCGGCCTCTCCCACCTCCACGATCCGTTGAGTTTTACCTGGCTTCTGTGGCTCCCAGCAGTTTCTGAGGGGCCATTGAGGAATTGGATTTTTTTTTCTTTGTGGGTCACACTCAGTGATGCACAGGGGTTACTGCTGGCTCTGCACTCAGGAATTACCCTTGGCGGTGCTCAGCAGACCATATGGGATGTTGGGAATTGAACCTGGGTCGACCACGTACAAGGCAAACGCCCGACCTGCTCTGCTATTGCTCTAGCCCCGGAATTGGATATTTTTACACATCCCCTTCCTGCTGGTTTTCTCTCTGGGCCAAAGTGTTTTATCTGCAGTCTTACATCCCTGGGAGGATCCTAGCATCAGGGCCTGCTTGGAAAGCCTGATACCCTACAGCATCCTGAAGATTGACCACGGAGGCCTGACAAGACTAGCAAGTCCGGGGCACTGGAGGGATAAGACAGTTGGTAGGGCATTTGTCTTGCATGCAGACAATCAGGTTCAAACCCATATAGTCCCTACCAGGAGTGATCCCTGAGTACAGGGCCAGGAGCAAGCCCTGAGAACTGCCAGGTGTGGCCCCCAAACAGAATGAAGCAAGAATAGCAAGTTCATTCAACCCATTTTACAGATGAGAACACTGATTCCTGGAGAGAAGGCCTTCCACTTGTATGGAAGGGGAGGGGTAGGCATAAGGACCAAGTCTGCCACCTTCCGGCCAGGGATCTGTCATTTCATTTAGAAAGAGTTCAGTAGCCACCCCCATCTGAAAGTTGCTGTGTCCCTGTCATCTGAAGTACAGCTCTCAGATATCGGCAGAGGTCCATTTACAGGCTTCACTGACAGTTCATGGCTGTGATTGTTCTGTCTTCTTACTGTTCACCTCTTACTGTAGCACTGTCCTCCCGTTGTTCATCGATTTGCTCGAGCAGGCCCAGTAACATCTCCATTGTGAGACTTGTTGTTACTGTGTTTGGCATATTGAATACCTCACGGGTAGCTTGCCAGGTTTTACCTTGTGGGCGAGATACTCTCCGTAGCTTGCCAAGCTCTCGATCCCACCTTTTACTAGGCCTACTTTTATCAGTTAAACACTTACTATCAGTGTGTGTTTAAGAAAGCACGGAGTGGGGCTGGAGAGGTATGATGACAGGGAGGGCTCTTGCCTTACATCTGGCAGACCCAAGTTTGATCCCTTGCATCCCATATGGTCCTACGCACTGCCAGGAGTAATTCCTGAGCATAGAGCCTGGAATACTCCATGAGCATAGCTGGGTGTGGCCCCCAAACCAAAATAAATAATAATAAAATTAAGTTAAATTTTGAAACAACTCTGCTGTGAACAACTTTCTGAATCCTAGTGTCTTAATTTAAAAAACAGAAAGGAGGGAAGGAGGGAGGGAAGGAGAGAGGAAGGGAGGGAGGGAGGGAGGGAGGGAGGGAAGGAAGGAAGGAAGGAGGGAGGGAGGGAGGGAAGGAAGGAAGGAAGGAAGGAAGGAAGGAAGGAAGGAAGGAAGGAGGGAAGGACACAGAATATATAGAATTTAGTTTTAATCAGTTTTAGAAATCTAGTGGGGGTCTTGGAACAGGTCCCTATGGAGAAGGGGGAACCCTGTCTGGTCATATCTGGAGGCATAGACCACCCCCCCCATACACCACACACACACACACACACACACACACACACACACACACACACAGCTTCCAGCTAAGGAAATGGAAGATGCGTTCCATGTCCCATTCTCCTTCTGCCACTGTTGACTGATTTCCTTTTGTAAAACAAAAGTGGGTGACAGTCGCCAAGCACTGGGTTGGACTTCTGTGCTTTCGTGGGGGGGGGGGGGTGAAGGAGCACACCTGGCACCCAGGGGACAGGTGAGAACACAGAGGTGCGGGGGCTGGGAGTGTGGCCATGATGAGTGAAGTTTGCACCCCTGGCTCACCACACAGACACCCCACCCCCACCCCTCAGTGACATACTGGAAGATGCTGAGCTCGTTTGGGCTGCAGAAAATATTGCCCAGACATCCTTGCTCTCTTGTTCCACACCACCTTCTCCCCCATAGGGTCGAAACATGAAACCTGTGTGAGAGGAAACCCCCCCTAGTGGGGCTTTCTAGGGGAGGGGTCTCAGGAGCGGGGCCAGAAGGAACCGCAAATCCCAGGAGGTCTTACTTCCTCATTGTCCCTGGGATGCATCGTGGAGTGATCACCCATCAACCCCTCCAGATTAGGGAGGAAAAGTGGGAAGCCGAATCCGGAAGAGGACAGGCACTCTCTGGCTGCCTTACACGTGGGGCACAACCAGACCTCCACATCAATCGTCTTTCCCCCAACTGCGTTCCCAGGGGCATGGAGCCCCGACAGAGGCAGCTTCCTGGCAGGTGGGGGCGGAGGGGGGCTGGTCTGTGCCTGCCCGCACCCCTGCAGAACAGCATCATTGCCACCCCAGGCTGACTCTAGGGTCCTGGTATCTACAAAGGTGCTTCCAGAGAGCACAGGTGCAGGGGAGCACGGGTGCACGGAGTAGTGGGGCTTGCTGGCTAAGGTGCTCTGTGTCCCCAAAACTTCCTCTGCTCAAGCCATAAGCATCCCGCGAAACTGCTGCTTGTAGTCATGGGAGACAGGCTCTTGGATAGAGTGGGGTCCTGGCTAGCAGATGAGGCAGCCCAGGGGTCCACAGCCCAGCTCGGGAGCGAGGCGCGGTGCATGGGGATAAGAAAGGGCTGCATGCACTCTCTACAATAGTCGTCGATTGCCTCGATCAGGCCCCAGTAACGTCTCCTTCATCCTAGCCCTGAGATTATATTCAAGGCTCTTTAGGAGAATGAGACCCATCATTGTTACTGGTATTTGGCATATTGGGTACGCCGCGGGGAGTTTGCCAGACTCTGCTGTGTGGGCAGGTTACATTCAGTAGCCTGCCAGTTTGTCCAAAGTAGGAATGAGATAATAAGATGTCATAATAGGATGTCGCAAATGCGGCCGCGCGGTTCCGGGAGCTGGTTTTTATAGTCTCTGAGTCTTGGCCATTGATGGGATTACACAGCGCCAGGGGGCCAGTTGGTGGGTGTGACCCCGCCTACTGGAATTCGGGGGATCTGGGTGGAGGATGCTCAGCCCTGATCCGAGTAGGCTTGGAGATCTCAGCCCCGGGACCCGCTTGCCTTTTTTCCTTTGTCGATACCTTCAGGTGTGCAGAGAGTGGTCTCAGCATGGTGGTGGCTGGTCCTGGAGGTCTTCAGCTACCGGAGCCCTGGTCGGGGCGGGGAGGAAAGCTCAACCCGCTCCCCTCCAAGGGGCCCCAGCGAGGATAGCCAGGCGTGGGGGCAGGAGACTGCACTGTTCTCTTCCGGGAGCTGGTTTTTTATAGTCTCACCACAGAGGCAGGGTGAGATGGGGGGGGGGGGGGGGTAGGAGGGATGCTGGGACCTGTGGTGGTGGAGGATGGGCACTGGTGGAGGGATGGGTACTTGATCATTGTATAACTGAAACCCAAGCACAAAACTTTGTAAGTCTATAACTGTACCTCATTGTGTTTCACTAATTAAAAAAAAAAAAGAAAAGGTGGCAAGGCCAGGCCCCCTGGGCACCCTGAAGCTGGCCACCTGGAGCCAGGCAGCACTGGAGGGGTGGGGGATGGATAGCCTCAGGGACGCACACCCAGGTCCTCATTGGGACAGGGATTAAGTCATCCTGGTGTGCAGAGAAGCCCTGAGAGTCCAGCTGTGCACGTCATGAGCCCTCCTGGCCCCGTGGAGGCTCATAGCAGTGGCTGCTGGTGACCTCTCTGCAGCTCTTTGCTTGGCTTCCAGTGCGTGAGTCCTTCTAACTAGTGTCAGCCTGGCCCGGTTCTTCCCAGGGTTCAGCCTAGAAGGTTCTGTGCTATATGGGCGGGTCCTTCCCAGTGTGGGCCCTCCCCACCCCAACTTCTCACCAGCAGCTCCCCATCCCACCCCACCCAACCTCCCCATCCCCAGATCTTGCAACTTGGCAGCCCATAAGAGGAAGGTGAGAACAGGAAGTCACCATGCCGAGATCCCAGACCATGGGGCCCTTGGGATCGCCTGGATGAGGACAGGCAGCATTGGGGCGTTGACGTGGTGGCTTTATGCTTGCCAGGCAGGCACGCTTCGCTTTCAGCTCTCTTCCAGGCCCCGGAGGGGCAGGGTCTCCTGTGCCCTCACCATGGAGGCGATGTCTTATTAACTGCTTGCTGTTCTTTGTAGGCCAGTCAGTGGACAGGCTCAGGCGTGGGGCAACTGCATGGGCATCTTGGGCATCTCCCAAGCTGGAGAGGCTGGGGACGATGTGGCCAGGTCCTTTTACCCACACAGTTTCCCGGGTGGTAACTGTGTGACCTCTACAGTCGCTGCCTTTATTTGCCAGTCACGGGGAAGTGACTTCACAGCCAGCTCCTTGCCTTGCAGCCCCAGGAAGTTGTGGAGGAGGTTGTGGGCGGGCGCCTGCAATCTTACGGTGGTGGTGAGGCGAGCCTCCTGGCAGGGCCTGGAGAGAATCACTCCAAGCCTCGCCCAGCCCTTAATCAGTGGACCCCTCAGCTCCCACCCCCGGCCCCCAGGAAACAGTTATTCAGCTATGGGGGCTTGGACTGCCGCCCCGAGGTGGGACCCGCTGGTCTCCCAACCCTGACTTGCCTCTGGGGTGAAGCCGAGCCCTGCACAGGCCTGGACCTGGCGCTTCCGTGACCCAGAGGAGGCTGGAGGTGTCCAGGCACCCACCGGCTCGAGCCATTTTGGGGACGTAGTGGGGGCAGCTGGTCCCCATGCCATGCACTGATTCCTGAGGTGAATTAACACCCCCTCCCCCACCCCGCCCAGCCTTGGCCCCAGGGACTGCAACCCCCTCCCCCACCCCACCCCCCTTAACTACATGTGCCTTTTCCTGTCCCCGCAGACAATTTCAGGTACACATGTGACATCTGCGGCAAGAAGTACAAGTATTACAGCTGCTTCCAGGAGCACCGGGACCTGCACGCCGTGGATGGTGGGTCGGGGCCCTCGCTCCCCAGATGCACAGATGAACCCCAACTCTCGGGGAACTGGCAGTGGGGGCAGGGGTGGCTGCTTCTCTGCCCCACGCCCTCCCCCCCACCCCGCCCTGAGGAGAGGGAAGGGGCCGCAGCTCACCGAGCCCCGGGAAGCCGCCGTGTTTCTAGGTCCAGCCCCGTCAGATTCCGCAGTTCCGTCCTGATTCATGTCACCGTTTCAGATGGAGCGTTTGCCTGCGCTCGAGAAATTAAAGCTATTTTTAAAGAAGAAGGATGGTATTTTGGTGCCTTATCGAGTTAGAAATTAGAACGATAAATTTGAGTCGTATATTTTAGGATCTCAAAAATCCTAGAAATAGGTTTCCGACCTAGAAAGGGGCTTGGGGCTCCTTCTCCAGCCCCACCCTCACCCCCCCATCCCCACTTGGCTGTGATGCGCACTTCCTCCCTCCTCTTCCTCCCTCCTCTTCCTCTCTCCTCTTCCTCTCACCTTCTCTTTTTCTCACCTCCGCTTCCTCTCACCTCTCCTCTCCCTTCCTCAGCCTCTCGCCTCCTTTGCCTCTCATCTTTTCTTCTCTCGTCTCCTATTCCCTCTCCTCCTCCTACCCTTCCTCTTTCCTGCCATCCTGACCCCTCCCCTGGGCAATGAGATACAGGCCAGGCAGTGAGCACCTTGACTCGGTGGGCCCCTGCCCTCGGTGAGGATGAGGAGTGGAGGCACTGGCCGTGCCCTCCTGTGGGCCCTGGTTTTCTGGTGTGTCCGTACTGGCCGGCAGGAGGTGGGGGGGCAGAGGCAGTCGCGGGCAGGGTCTAACGGGGCTCCTCTTTGCTTCTTTCCTTCTGCGGCTGCTGCCTCCCGCCCGGGTGCAGTGTTTAGTGTGGAAGGGGCCCCCGAGAATCGGGCAGGTAAGTCCATGGTGGTTCCTCCCACCGCCCGCCCCCCACCCCCTGTGTCTCCAGCTGGGCTCCCCGTCCCGGGGGCCCCAGGTGCTAAGGCCCTGTGTTCTCCCGCAGACCCCTTTGACCAAGGCGTCGTGGCCAGTGACGAGGTGAAGGAGGAACCCCCAGAGCCTTTCCAGAAAATCGGGCCAAGTATGGGGCCTCTCCCTGGGGCCAGGGAGGGGGGAGGGGGATGGCGGGGCTGGGAGACCAGGGTGGGATGGGAGGGCGTGACCCCGTTGTACAACTTGCAGCCGCGGAGCTGCCTCCCCGGACCTCACTTTCCCCGCCTGTCCGCCGGGCTGGTCTGTGTGAGGAGCAGAAGCACGTGGGCCTGGGGCAGCGGAGTCCTGGGGTGCAGCTCCACGGGGGCCTGGCGGGGCCGGGGAGTCTGTTAGCCCCCCTGAGCCTCGGCGCCTCACCTGTGCCACGAGGTGCACATGTTCCCCCCTCCCCCCCGCAAGGTTTGTTGGGGGATTAAATGAGACCACGGACACAGAGCAGCTGCTAGCTTTAGCACAGTGCCTGGTACATAGCAGGAGCTTAGCTCTGTCCTCCCGGAGCACCGTGCAGATCCCGCCACGTAGCCTGCCTCTGCCCAGAACTCTGGCAGTGCGGTGGCGCGCATGTGGCCGTGAGCCAGAGGTGCCCTGCATTGGGGGGGGGGGGGGGCGGGGGTAATGCCCAGGGATGGACAGTGGAGTCCCGTCAGCAGATAGTTCTCATGTCATCCAGGGGGCCGTGGGGACCCCAGGGTCAACCGATCCACCTTGGAAATTGAGGAGGCTCCCACATGGGGACACGGGTGAAACTGAGACCCTGCCCATTCCAGCACTGGGGGGCCAGTGGACATTTAGTTCAGGCCTCCAAGATCCCCTCCGGCCAGAGGAAGGGCTTAAATTTCCTTCTCTGAGTGGGGGGCGCTTGAAGGTTCTTTAGGAGTCGGTTGCCCCAGAAGTGGTGGGGAAGTCCCAGGAGGGGTATCACGAAGTCCAGGCTCGCCCACAATACACTGGCCTCATCCCAGAACATGCTCCATCCCCACCCACTGGACTGCAGGGTGGTGTGGTGGCAGGGGGCTGAGTCTTCGCTTTCTTTGAACCTGGAGTCAGGGTCTCCGCAAAGTGATCGCCAGTGCTGGTCGCCGGCACAGAGCAGCCCATACGCAGCAGCCGTGGTGTAACCGGAAGACGGAGAAGGTGCTGCTGTGTCCCGAGCTCAGAAGGCTCACAGGGTCCCCACAGCAGCAAGGGCCAAGCATGTTTCATGATGGACATTCAGGGACAGATACGGGCTGGGCTCTGTGGGTTCTGAGCCCTTCCATGCTGCACCATCTGCTCCAGCCCACCCGGCTTGGAAGGCTGGTACCCCCAATTCACCCGCAGAGGGCCCTGTAACCCGCTGGTAGAGAGTTGACAAAGACTGGCTGTGACATTCCCTCATCGAGTGTCTTGCCAGCTCCCGGCTAATGCAGGCCAAGATCCATGAGGAATCATCAGGCTTTGAGATGTATCACACCCCCAAGGGCGAAGACTCCTGGCTCTATCCTGAATGCCCATGGGATGCCCTATGACACTCAGGTTGGACGCAGTGGGCGGTGTGCATGGCACACTGCATTGCCACAGAGTCGAGATGCGCTTTGTCAGGGAGCTGGCATTGGGCGGGGCGACTGAGCCCGTGGGTGGAAAATGTTCATGAGCTCCTTCACCGCCCAGGCAGGTACAGCACACACCGAAGCCTTATTCTGTCTCGCCGTGACTGAGCCTGATGAACACTGTTGGCCCCTTGGAGGAAGGAGCAGAGCTTCCAGCATCCAAAAGATGCATGAATAAAAAAATTTAAAAAAAAAAGAGGGTGGAGGGAAACCTAGACTTCCCCTGGAAGGAGATTGTTAGCCAAGCATGGCCTTCCCTCATCACCACTCCTGGGGAGGGATGAATGCAGCTTCTTGGGCTTCTGCCCTTATAAGCAGACACGGCCTCAGGAGCCTGAAGGTGATGAGGCCTGGAACAAGGGGAGCCCACGGAGGCCTGGACTCAGGGGAGGGATGTCACCTGGCAGAGCTCTGGAGGTGGGGAAAGGAGGAAGATCGAGGGATGTCTGCCTTTCCATCCACATCAGATAAGCATCTTGGAGATTTGGATCCTGATGCAGGAGGCAGCGGTAGGCTGGGCAGAGGAGCTGATGTGAGGGGCCCCGGGCATCTTTTTGCCCAACTGCAGGTCTCAGAGTGAGCGCCCTGTCAATGGACACTACAGTAAGTCATACCACTTGGTTACAGGAAGACGGAACACACCTCTTCCAGGTTGGTTGAAAAGCGAGACACCTAGCTGCCTTCCCGGGTTAGTTGATTTATATCTCTCAAAAAGAGTCACTTCAGAGATAGACAAAACCTGGGAACTCTGAGAATTCCACAGAACAAGAAGAAAAAAAAAAAAAGAATTCCAGAAGCTTGGAGGAAGAACAGACCTCTGAAAAATGATCGGCCTTAGTATCTTTTAGAAAATTGTGTTCAACAACCATCATCAGGGATGAGAAAATAGGACTTGAGCTGGACCTCTCAGGCCTCAGTACCAGAATGCTGCAGCCTGAGGACTCAAGCAAAAGGAGTGCATGTGCTCCCTTTAGAGGATCCGGGTGCGAGCTGCTAGGGTGCTTGTGAGGGCTCTTTCTGGCTTACCCACGGGACAGAGACACAATGAGATCAGGCTCTGGGATGTATCCTTACAAGAGTTCATCCTCTGCACTCAGGAGGGCCCCAAACCCAATGCCTCTGGTGCACACCACCCACCTCCCAGTACCATCCTGCTGGCAGACAAGACGGCTACACTTGAACTTAGGGGACACTCCTTCATGGCCTGGTCTTAGTGGAAAAGGGAGCTTGAAGCTTCATGATGAGGGAGATAGAAAAAAAAGGCAGATAGAAAAGGCAAGGAGAGAGGTGGAGTAAGGAAGGATGGCAGGAAAGCAGAAAATCTCAGAGCAGAATTTCAGACCTAAGTTACAGGCTATCAAGAGCAGAATGAATGCACAGAAATGAAGCACCAGGGGGATCGCACGGTATGTAGGGCGCTTCCCTTGCACACGGCTACCAGGGTTCCATTCCTGGTATCCCAGGAGAGATTCCTGAGTGCCGAGCCAGGAGTAACCCCTGTGCACTGCTGGGTGGACTCCCAAACAAACAGACAAACAGCAACAACAACAAAAGAGTGGAATTGGTGGCATGCAGTCTTAGATAAAGTAGCATAGCACTGTAGCACGGTTCTTTTGTTCATTAATTTGCTCAAGCGGGCACCAGTAATGTCTCCATTGTGCGACTTGTTGTTACTGTTTTTGGTTTATCAAATATGCCACGGGGAGCTTGCCAGGCTTTGCTGTGCGGGTGGGATACTCTTGGTAGCTTGCCAGGCTCTCCGAGAGGGACAGAGGAATCGAACCCAGGTCGGCCATGTGCAAGGCAAACGCCCTAGCCACTGTGCTATCGCTCCAGCCCGGATAAAGTAGTATAGTCAGAAAAAAACATCACATGCAGAGCAATTGACAATTTTGTACCAGTGGGAGAAATGCAGGAATATCCACAAGCACAGAAAATGTGGTCTCAGTAGGCTGACTGCTAGCTTTTGCATACTAGGTGTCTGGATTTGATCCCCAGCACCACAGGGACCCCTGAGCACAGAGCTAGGAGTAGCCCCTGAGCACCGGTATCTGATCACTGCCTTTGAACCAGTGGGATCAGTGCCTTCACCTCCATCCTGCAGAACTGGTTGCAGAGAATGAGACAAACTCAGTGACTATGCAGCAGCAAATCAGTGTCACCAGCCCAGAGCAAGTGGGTTTTTTATTAGTGAAGCAAGAGTTTTTCATTAACACAGCATCACCTTCCCACTGGTTTTTATCAGGGCTGTTATTTACCAGGGAACATATATGTTAAGAACAAAATCTGAGGGGCTGGAGCAAATAGCACAGCGGGTAGGGCGTTTGCCTTGCACGCAGCCAACCCGGGTTCGATTCCCAGCATCCCACATGGTCCCCTGAGCACTGCCAGGAGTAACTCCTGAGTGCAGAGCCAGGAGGAACCCCTGTGCATCGCCTGGTGTGACCCAAAAAGCAAAAAAAAAAAAAAAACAAAATCTGAAATACTTGCTGCTAAGCCATCAGCAAGTTCCTTGAATGTATAGTTTTGAAATCATGGCGATCTCCCATCGCACCCTAAAAGGACTTTTCTCCTGCTTAGCTGCACATTTGTACCGTCCATTTTCTTAACGAGGCTAAACTTGCTTTACCCGGGGGACTTCCCTGACTTAGAGTGTTTTATTAGTGGGCTGATTTCCCATACCCCAGGAACTAAATAAATAAATAAAACTGTGCTTTGCTAAAGGAAGACCTCTGTGTCCAGATTTAAGGACTGGCTTCATGTCAGGTAGTATTGATAGAAAGAGATCCTTCGCTTAAATAGATCTTAACACCTTTCAAAAATGATAAACATAAAGGCACAAACTGTATAAGCAAGTTACTTACAAGTGAACTCAAAGGTGCACTTGCCTTAAACTAATGCCCAAATATAAGAGGGCAGGTTTTTTTTGTTTTTTTCTGAATCACCGTGAGATACAGTTACAAAGCTTTCATGTTTGAGTTGCAGTCATACAGTGATCGAACACCAGTCCCTCCACCAGTGCACATTCTCCATCACCAGTGTCTCCAGTATACTCCCCCCTTTCCAACCCTCCCCCTGCCTCTATGGGCAAACAGTCTCCCTCATTCTCTCTACTTTGGGGCATTATGGTTTGCAGTATAGATACTGAGAGGCTGTCACATTTGGTCCTTTCTCTACTTTCAGCACACATCTCCCATCCCGAACGGTCCCTCCAACCGTCATTGACTTAGTGATCCCTTCTCTATCCCAGCTGCCTTCTCCCACCCTCCACCCCCTCCGACCCCCATGAGGCAGGCTTCCAACTGTAGAGCAGTCTTCCTGGCCCTTGTTTCTACTGTCCTTGGGTGTCGGTCTCATATTTTGTTATTTTATATTCCACAAATGAGTGCAGTCATTCTTTGTCTGTCCCTCTCTTTCTGACTCATTTCACTTAGCATGATACTCTCCATGCCCGAGAACCAACAACTGGTTAAAGAAACTTTGGTATATCTACATAGTGGAATACACTGCAGCTGTTAGGGAAGATAAAGTTATGAAATTTGCCTATAAGAGGGCAAATTTTTTAAAAGAGCTTTGCATCAAGTCAGATTATGACCCACATGTGTTAAAAAAAAAAAAAGAGGCAAGGACTCAAAAACATTTTATTTCTTTTACGACCCTCCATCTTTAAAGAAAACATCTGCACCAAAACACTGAGCAGAAAGTATGTGGAAGGGCCCAGTGGTATACAAGGAAGGACTCGCAATAAGCATATGAACGGTCCATTCCAGTGGTTGCAAGTCACATTACTAAACAGTGCTAAAGATTAAGATTATAAATATAATGAGTGAATTTTTACAAATCATTAGTCCGGAGTTATAGTATAGAACATATAAGAGAGTTTGCCTTGAGTGCAGCCAACCTGGGCTCAATCCCCGGAACTCCACACTGTCCCCAACACCACCAGGAGTGAACCCTGAGCACAGAGCCATAAGTAAGCCCTGAGCACCACTGGGTGTGGCCCAAATACACCCAAATGAACAAACAAACAAAAAAAACAGTATCCACCAACAGCATCAGTATATCCTCAAAGCCTATTGGAAATGTGAATTGCTGGGCCCCTATGCCAGGCCTGTGGATGCAGAATCTTTGGGTGGGGCCCAGTACCTATGTCATGCCAGCCTCTGTGGATGACTCAAACATGAGACATTTGATATGCCCCAGATTAAGTTACCTTTCTCAATCATAATAGACTTGAAAGTGTCATTTCCTGCCTGGGCCTGGCCATTAGAGGACCACATCTCTTGGGCTGTCTAAAACAGTGGAGAAGATTGGAAAATAATGGAAAGGCAGGGAGAAGAGCTTGAACGTCAGTGTGCTGAAAGGACGGATGGGAAAGGGAAAAAGAAGCAGAATCAGTTCAGAAACCCAATGAAACCAAGAGTTACAGGCATAAAAGCAAATGGCTTGATCTCCGTTAGTTAGAAAGCAGAGTCTCGGTTCATTTAAAATAATCCAAGTCCTAAAGGTTTATTTGAAGCTATAACAAGCTTCCTCCCTTCTCCTTTACCCTGGGCCCAGGCTCCTGTGTCTCAGGGAACCCTGCTCCAGAGCGTCACTGTGTTTCTATTAGGATTTTCCTGGCTCTGTTTCACAGTGACTTCAGATAAACCTGCCACCCACTTACCCGAACGCTTTCCGACTGTCTGTGTGATTGCTTCGATTCTCGGCCTCCTTCGCCAGACTAGAAAGCTGCATGGAGGCAAAGCCTTAGACTTGGGTGGCTCTGAAAGGTATATAGCACTGTTTCCATTCCAGGAATGAAGGGACAAGCACATTTAGGCATAGGCAGACAAGGAGAAAGGAAGATTTGATGAGTCAGCACTGTGAGCAGCAATTCCTATTAGTTCCTCTAGCAGTCCTTTGAGTGGTGGTTCTTAGACTTTCCCGTGTGTTAGAATCTTCTAGGGGACCTGCTAAGACACAGATGGCAGAATTTCATTCCATAAATTGTTCTGATCAGGTCTGGGGCAAATCCTGACATACGCTACATCATGGGGATCACCCCCAGGGACCTGATAGTCTCTCTCTCTCTCTCTCTCTCTCTCTCTCTCTCTCTCTCTCTCTCTCTCTCTCTCTCTCTCTCTCCTCCCTCTCTTTCCTCTCTGTCTGTCTCACACACATACACACACACACACACAAACATGTTCCAACCCTGTAGTTACATCTATAGCCCCTGGGATTCTGCACTGGAGGAGCCAGAGACCAGAGGAGATCTTATAAGCAGTGCTCTGCAGACCCGGGGGACCCTCCCAGGAGTTCTTGGCCAACCTGACCACCAGTGGTTCAATTCAAGGGTTCATTGATGTGGTGCTGCTGACCCTGTGGTGTGGGGGATCACCTGCAGTCATCAGAGTGCCTCCCGGGCTTCACCCTGCAATGATCAGGGGATTCCTTACAATATGTGCACCTCACTTCCTGTACTGCAAGATTCCGCATTTCTGATGGGTCCCTCATATGCGGAACTCAACAGGCCCCTGGCATCACTCTGAGAAACAGTCTAGTATAGGGTGGTAAAGGCTGCAGCTCCCAGTGGGGGACTTAATCTCATGAACCCGAAGTCACATTGTGTCTAAAGTTTAAAGCTAGGCTTACATAATAGGATCTATCCTAATATTTAGTCCTGAGCATGGCAAGCCAATAAGATTGTATAGGGTTAATAATGGTTGTTAAATCTCACAACTTTGAAGCCTGCCAGCAACACAGAATCTTTTCCGATGTCGGTGACTTGCCTATGAAAACTATTGAACTACAAAAAGATAACGGGAAGCATCTCTCTTGAGGGCCCAGGAGGCAGAGTAAAGGGCCAGAACACAGGCTTTGCATGTGGGAGCCCAGGACTGATCCATGAATTCAAGCGTCACTGAGACTCTTCCCCACACTCCACCCAAAGGCTTCCAGTGTCGAGAGGCAAACCATGGACAAAGAGCCTAAGAAGGAAACACTTGGAACACAGCAAACAAAGCACGTCACCCTCAGAGTGGTTAGCGATAAAGATACTGCAGACCTGCCCGTGGAAGCCTTGGACGCAACTGGGAAAGTTGCCATAGTTCATGAGCAAGGAAGAGCGTGTGTGTGTCCCCCTCCTCTGCCACCCCCCCCCCCACTTAAGAACTCAGATAAATAGAAAATAAAGTTGACTGTGGTGGGAAATCATCATTCTCCACCACTCAGGCATCAGTCCCCCCGCACACACCTCCATACCTTTGCTCAGACAGCTTTTTAAGTAAACGATTGTACTTCCGGTGGTCAGGCTACAGGCCGAGTATTCAGCAGTGGTGTTCTCAGCCTTTCCGATTGGCCTGGACATCAGCCCAAACTTTGGCCGGGTAATTGAGACCCTGGTTATCAAAAGCCTGGAAGATGGGTCCCTTCGCTTGTCCCTGTTTCTGTGCAAGCATCTTGCTTTCGCAGCGATGTGCAAAAGTAACGAGTAAGTTTACAAACCTTCCGAGGATGTCAGTCCAGCAGTATTTTCTTTTGATGAGGGACAGACACTGGAAGCAACCCAAGTGTCCCCTGTTTAAGCGACTGACAGACTCGGTAGTCTGAAAATCAAATCATGCTGTGGAGATCGGTGGCTATAAATTATTATATTGGTGACTATTATTTCTATTATTACCCAGAGGCTGTAGGTCAGGGCGGGCTCACACAGGGCTGTAGGAGCCAGACAGGATGTCAGTAAGAAGAGCGTGCCCCAGCGAGACGGGGAGCGAGGGGTGGGCTCTCAGTCCCCGGGGCCAGCTGGCCAGTTGCACGCTTTACCCCAAGGGTAGCTGCTCTTCTTGGTTTGGGGGTTAAATAGGTGTTTGAAATTTCTCTGATTCGTAAGCTTTTGTATTTGTATTTATCAGTATTTTATAATTTTCCCCCAGTGAACAGTATTACATCAGAAATTTTTAAGAAGAAAGAAGTTAGGCAGTGCCAAAAGAGAGGTAAAGATAAAGTCTGGGGGGACTTTAGGAGAAGAAGTGACCCCATTTGCTGGGGGCTCGGGGGTGCTTGGGGAGGCATGTGAGGTCCTAGAGACCAGGGGACCCCAAGGACTGGCCACTGCAGGGCTTACAGAAGGGGTGATGGCGAGGTCGGCCCTGGAGGTCAGAGGGACCCACCAGGCATTTCTCGAGCACCGGGACCTGTAGGGGAGCGAGGAAGGAGACTAGCATGTACCAGGTACTGTTCGAAGCATTTGATGTATAGATTTAATCCTCACAGCAAACCCCCCCATGAGGCAGTCCGGTATCGCCCCCATTTTACAGCTAGCAAAGCTGAGGCACAGAGAGGTTAAGAGATTCGCCCAAGGCCACCCAGCTCCAAATGGGAGAGCTGGGACTCGAACCCGGGGGGCAGGGCTCCTGATTCTAGCTCCATGGTCCCAGGGTGAGGCGGCGTTTGGGGATGATGGGTGGGGAAGGGGGCCGACGGGTGCAGCTTCAGAACGGGGTCACGGCGCCCCTTCCCACACTCGCCTCTCCTCCTCCTCACGTAGAAACTGGCAATTACACGTGTGAGTTCTGCGGCAAGCAGTACAAGTACTACACGCCCTACCAGGAGCACGTGGCCTTGCACGCCCCCATCAGTGAGTATCTCCTCCGCTTGGGGGGGGGGGGGGGAGGGAGAAGGGGGGAGGGGCAACTGGAGGTCAGGACTCTGCATCCTGGCCAGGAGAGGGGGGCAGCCAAGGGGAGCTTCGTGTGGGCTGGTCTCTCGTGGCCACTTCCGGCCTGGTCACAGAAGGCAGCACAGCTGGGAAAGCCCCGTCCTTGGGCCGGGACTGCTGAGTCCTCCCTCCGTGGACTAGAACCCCGGACCCATGAGGGGGCTTGGCTCTAGGAGATTGGACGTTCCTGGTCCAAATCCTTCCTTCAGTGGCCCTGGCCCCTTCACTGCAAGGCTTGTGTCCAGCCCAGGCGGCGTCCAGGTGAGGGAAGGCCACGCCAACAGATTCTCGGGATGAGGGCGGGACTTGCTAGAAGGAGCCCTCCTCTCTCCAGGACTCAGAAGCCCAGCGTGTTCTTCTGGATTCCCCCCTTGCTGTGGAACCTCGGGCATGCCCCTGCCTCCCCCTGACCAGGGGGTTTTGGGGGAGGACGGGGGTGGGGGCAGGGCCCTGCCGGTCTCCCACACTCCTCAGCTTCAGAGCCCACAGATGTGGAGGGGCAGGCGCTCAGTCTGCCCATAGTCAGAGGGACCCGGTCAAGCGTGTTGATCCTCCACCAGAGGGTGTCAGGGGAGGCCCACACCTTAGTCTGTGGGTGGGACGCCATATCCAGGACTGGAGAGGGATCGTTTAAGGTCTAGGGGGTGCCTATGCTGCTTCAGGCAGGCGGGTGCACCCAAGGATTTAGGTTAGCAGGGAGAAGCAGGAGGGTGCCGGGCAGATGGGCGTCTAGACCCTGAGCGTTTTCCTCTCAGGGGTAAGCCCTGGGCCAGGCTTCTGCCTCTGCTCATCTCGAGACCCTAGGGTGACCCCATGCCTTCCCCCCCCCCCCTCCGCCATCCTGGCTCAAGGCTCTGACTTCTCATTTGTGGGAGCTCACGGGGGGGGTGGGGCGAGGGACTGGATCATTGGCATCACCAGAGGAAGACGGGCAATCAGGCCCAGCTGGAGGAAGTCACACTGCCATGCAGACCCAGTATGACGGCCCACCAACTGACCGCCTCACAGCTGCAGAGCTGGGTCCTGGGTGTGGCAGAGGAGCTGGGCCCTGATGGTGGTGCCGGTACTGAGGCTTCAAGGCTAGGGATGAGCGAAATAGGATTCCAGGGCCCCCTTCTCCCCCCAGCAAGGGGACCACAGGACAGCTGTGTGGGCATCTAGCTCCCTGTGCTTGCCAAGGAAGTGGCGACTGCCCGCCCCCTCCCCTTCCCTCACCCCGAGGTGCTCCCCAGAATGCATTCACAGGGTAAAGCCACAGGGCCAGCCACAACTGGGGGGTTCCTGCCTTCAGAGGATAGCACCTGGGCATCCCCCCCAAAGCCCCCAGTGACTTTTACTAGAACGAGATCACATAGTTAATAGGGTGGAGTTTAGCTTTGAACTCAACTACTCCAAGCTCAAACTCTGGAGCCCAAAGGTACCTCACAGTGAAGGGGCACATGGGTGCACCCGGATTTCTTTCCACGCACCCAGTGGCTTCTCCCTTCTGAAGGCCCATCCTCCTCTCTGTCTGGGCCTTGAGTTCTCTTTCTGCTCTCTGTGGACACTTCTTTCTTCATCTTTCTGCAGCCGTTTCTTGAATGAATCTCTCTTCTCTATTTCTCAAGGAAGATCCTAGCATCCTCCTTTGCATGTAAAACCTGAGTTAGTTGGGCAGTGACAGCGATCAGTTCTCTGAGGCCAACCCAGAAATAGCCCCTCCGGCGATGTTTGGAGCTCATGGGTGCTATGTGAAATATTTTCATTTTCTTTTTTTTTTTTTTTTGGTATTTTGGGTTACACCCAGCAACGTTCAGAAGTTACTCCTAGCTCTGCACTCAGGAATTACTCCTGGTGGTGCTCGGGGGATCATATGGGATGCCTGGAAATAAACCCAGGTCAGCTGCATGCAAGACAAACGCCCTACCCACTGTGCTATGGCTCTGGCCCCACGGCGTGGAATTTAGAGGCTGGGCCTGCTGGCTGTATCCGGTGGTAGCCAGGCCAGGCCTTGGGACACTTGGTTCTGCTGAGAGCATTCAGCTGACCTCAGAAGTCATAGATGAGTACATATAATGTGCTTTCCTTTGCCTCCCAGCCACTCAGTGAACTGTTTTAAGACTCCTAGGTGAGGCTGTTCTCCTTCACCACCCAGCAGTATTCCATTGTCTGAAATTCCTGCAGGTGTTGGCTGTTGGGTATTTGCTTGTTAATTTGAGTTGTTTTCAGCCTTTCCGAGAGCCGGTGGAAATGCCTGAGGATTTTAGTGGATGTCCTTTTTCATTTTCTTCACTTAAATCCCAGGGAGTAGAGTAGCCTGGTCACGGGAGCAAGCATCTTTCACTTTGACAGCTCTGGCTAACCATTTTCTTGAAACAGCTCCAGCATTTTGTGTTTCGGTGGGGTCTCCACCTGCTTCCCGTCCTTGCCAGCCTTGGGTGTCGCTAACTTCTCATTCTTTCGTTCTGGTGATTCCTCATTGTGGCACAAGTTTCTCTCTTCCGATGACTAATGAGATCAAGTGCATTTTCATTCAATGATCGGCCCTTTTGTAATCTTTCATATTATTAATAGTAATCTATCAAGAGTTCTCTTGATCTTCTCAAGCCACCACCCTCGTCTTTGAGCGTACAGTTTGCATGCAGAGTGAATATTTGCTCCTAGACCTGGGTGTGCTGGCTAAGGTTCAGAGTATTGTTTGGTGAACAGTTACTTTTGTATTTCGGTGACATCTTCTTTACAGTTTATTTCCTGCTATGGATCCTGGTATGTCTTGGGATGCTATTCGAGATTTCCTGACCTGTCTGTTGATGGTGTGCTTATTCTCCTTTATTAACTTTTTTAAGTTTTATCATTTTAAGTTTGTGTTTAAGTCTGTGTTCCTTTCCAGGTTAACATTTGTGAATGGGGAGATTCATTTTCCATTCAGATAATCTGATTGTTCCAACATCATTAGTGAAAAAGTGTCCTTTTCCCTTTGTTTTGGATTGGAGTCTTTGTTGAAAATCAGTTGGGTATTTACACAAATACAGGTTTCTATTCCAATGGTTGACTTATGTCAACATGGTCATTTTACTTTATGTAGTGCATCTTAAATCAGGTACTCCTATTGTTTTTTAAGCATCTTTAAAAAAAAATACTTGTCTATGCTGGAGATTCTTGTTTTTCCACATAAATAGTAGTCATCTTGTCAGTTTCTACAAAAACAAAAACTTACACCAATCTGGGGCCGAAGTGATAGCACGGCAGGTAGGTGTTTGCCTTGCACACTGACCCAGGTTCAATCCCAGGCATCCCACATGGCCCCCTGAGCACCACGAGGAGTAATTCCTGAGTGCAGAACCAGGAGTAACCCCTGACCCATGTGACCACAAAGGGAAAAAAAATTCACCAATCTATACACCAGTTTTGGGGAAATAGCAGCCTCATAATACTGGATCTTTTAGTCTCTGTATGATCTTAAGCATGTAGGTCATTTCATCATCTTAGCTGCAGTTGGACTTTCAGAGTAAACAAACTGTACTTGTTTTGTTAAATTATTAAGTTTTGATGCCACTGTGATTTTCAAATTTCCAGTTTGTTTCCATTACCTATCAAAAGAGTTGATTCTTATAAATTGAAGTTATGTCTTGCAACTTTGCCAAGTTCACTTTTTTAGTTCTAACAGTTTTTCTGCCAAAATCTTTCTAGGATTTTCTTTGCATATCCAAAAGCATCTGTTGATAATAGTTTTGCTTCTTTCTTTCTGACATATTCCTTTTATTGCTTTTATTCCCCCTTGTTTGCTAGACTAGTTAGAACCTCAAGTACAGCATTGGATAGAAAAAAAATCTCTCTCTGTGCCTTGTTCCCAATCACAATATGAATCTATATAACTATTTCTATCTATATCTAATCTATATAATCTAAAATTCATATTAATTTTTTTAATCTAGTATGAATCATTTTTTCACTAGTTAGGGCTGGAGCGATAGCACAGCGGGTAGGGTGTTTGCCTTCACATGGCCTACCCGGGGATCCACCTTTGATTCTTCTGCCCCCTCTCAGAGAGCCCGGCAAGCTACCGAGAGTATCTCACCCTCACGGCAAAGCCTGGCAAGCTCTCCATGACGTATTCTATTGCCAAAAACAGTAACAAGTCTCACGATTTGTTGTGAGACATTATTGGTGCCCACTCGAGCAAATCGATGAACAGTGGGAGGACAGTGCTACAGGTACACGTAAGCACACTATACTCCATAGATTTCATTTGTCATTTATCAGTTGAGAACTCCTTATTATTAATTAGCTCAAATATTGGGGGGTGTGGGGGCAAGGCTTACCTGACAGTGCTCATGGCTTACTCCTGATTCTGTGCTTAGGGATCACTCTTGGCATTCCTCGCAGGGCATATGCAGTGGCAGGGACCTAACTGGGACTGGCTCTCTGTAAGGCAAGAGCTATGCGTCCTGTCTTCTCTCTCCTGCCTCCCGCCCAGAGTCTGGATCATTAATTGATGTTTCACGCTTTTTCCTACATCTTGTTAAAGTCATTTTATGATTCTTATCACTTATGTAGATAAAAGTAAATGACTTGGATTTATTTTTTAAGTTACCATGTTTATAGTTTCATGAAACATATGAAGTAAGACTACCAAAAACATTAAACCTTGAAGTGAACTAAGGATGTTTCTTCATTGCCAGAGAGGACTAAGTTCCTTCTTTGAAGTTTTTCTTTTTTTTTTCTTTTTATTTCTAATTTCTTTAAAACCTGTGGTTGTTTGTGAAGATAATTTGCCTTTATGAACTTGTTTTCTGATCCCATCTATCTAAAATTCCCCAGGAATTTTTTTTCCCTTTTTATATCATTGTCAGAAGCAACTCTCAGCCCAGGGAGGTATAGTCCTAAGGTAATAATAGCATCACATCTTTAATGAATGGTTTGCTATTGATATTCATAAT